TGGTTATGTCTCCCTGTTCCAGCAAAGACCCCAGGGATCAGCAGGCTCAGGAACCCGTGCAGGACGACACCACAGGAGAGTGCTGGGGTTCAAACCCAGACTAGGTCAGGTGCCGGCATGCATTTTTAAGTCAACCCTGGGATATGGAGTCATGTCTTCAGACGAACGACGCGTCCTTCTGTACGTGTTGGTTTTCACCGCGTCAGCGAGCCTCAGATGAAGAGCTTTGTTGGTCTGGAGCAGCGGTCCCCCACCCCTGGGGCGAGTCTGTTCCCCAGAGAACATCGGTTGGGATGTTCTGGTCACACACGGGGCGCGATCGAGCTCAGCGAGGCTGCTGAGGGTCTTCAGTACGGGGGCAGGCCCGCAGAACTGCAATGACTTGGGGCCCAATGCTAACGTGGCAGGGCTGAGAAATCTTGACTCGGAGGAAAAACACTGGAACAAACAAACTCACAATCTCTGAAGCGCAGAGGCAGCCCAGATGACGGCCATTCGAGATGCCCCGTCCTGTCTCGGGAAGCTGGGTGGCCCAGTGGTTATATGTTGGGCTCTAAACCAGCAGCAGCAGCTCCTCTGGAGAAAGACCGGGCTCTCTACTGCCATCAACAGGCACAGGCCCGGAGACCCCCGGGGGCTGGCGAGGAGTCAGCATGGGCTCCGAGAGTGGGGTTCCACCTTGTCTTTGAAGTCCTGTCTGCAGGTGCCCCTGTGTTGCCAGGGGCACAAGGACCCAACCCCCGAGAGAGAAGACCTGGTGGTGTAAGCTGGACTAGGACTTGGTCCTGCAGAGGCCTCTGGGTCGGCACTGACTTGACAGCACAGAGCAGCCGTCGCTGCCCACGGACGGAGCCCTGGTGGTAGATGCCCAGCAGCAACCTTGAAGGTTCAAGGCTGGTGGCCTGCTCCGAGTCAGATGGCGGCCAAGTCGGCCCACTCCGAGAGTGCTGCTCCCACAGGGACAGAGGACCCCCACGCCTACCCCATGTGCCAGGGGCAGAGGCCGCTGGTCCAGGCCCCGTGGAATCCGGGACCCAGGACGCCTGCTCTTCCTTCTCAGAGAAGCCAGAGATCTACCTGGTAAGGCGAAAGTGCCATCTTCCAAAATGTGGGCAACCAAGTTGGAGCATTTTCAAACCGTGTCGGTCTGAGACCCACATCCTGGATGCAGGGCTCCGGCAGTTCTCAGGGTTCTCCCTCATGCGCCCCTTTCCTTTGACGACACCCAAACCAAACACACCAGGCTCACGCCACCAAGTCAGCTCTGATTCACGACCCCACTCGACAGGGCACGGCAGAGCGGGTCTGGGGGTCTCTGAGACCAAGTCTTTCTCCTCTCTCAGGGCGGCTGGTGGATTGAAACTGCTGGTCTTGTAGCCCAACGCGGAACCGGTGCACCACCAGGGGCTCCTGACGCACAGCACTAGCTGAGATTGATCAAGCTCTTCCCACAGAGTCGAACCAGCTGCAAGCACTCTGCCTACGAGAGCTGATTTCATCCCACAACCACCCTGAGGTTGGTGCTCACACTCCCTCCCCCGGGCCGACATCAGGGATCAGGCCGCAGGGTCCTCACGCTTTTTAAAGAGGGGGCCAGTTCACTGCCCCTCAGACTCGTTGGAGGGCCGGACTATAGTTCAAAAAAACTATGAACAAATTCTCATGCACACTGCACATATCTTATTTTGAAGGAAAAAACAAACGGGGCAAAAACACCTGGTGGGCCGGATAAATGTCCTCAGTGGGCCATAGTTTGAGGAGGCCTGGATCAGGGACACAGAGAGGTTAGGCCATTTTCCCACATTGACAGAGTGAGCGCCAAGTATCTGGATTGGCACCCAGGAGATCCGGCCCGAGCCTGTTCTTAGACGTGAAGCCACTGCCTGCCTCACTCCACACCGAGAAACTCAGCGAGGGGCTCCTCTCACTAACTAGTCAGCGGAGACCAGGGACAGGCACCTCTGTGGTCAGCTTGCATTGCCCAGGTGCTCAGCAGATCTGTCAGGCCACCTGACCAGGTACTTCTCAACTGGGGGGGAGGTCGGGTGGGTGGAGTTTGCTCCTTGGAGGGCACTGTTTACTTCGGGTTTCACAAATGGGGGCTGCTACTGGCATCTAGTGGGTGGAGGCCAGGAATGCAAACACCCTTCCGTGCAAAGGACAGCCTCACACCCTGGACTTTCTCAGCTCAAACGTCCACAGCGCTGAGGCCAAGCAGTCCTGATCCACAGAGCCGACTGGCAGCCGCAGCAAGGCGGAGGGTCCAGGGGATGCTCTGTCTTGGATCTCAACCTTCTCCTCAAGTCCCTCATGGCATCTTCCTTCCCGTGCCAGTGCCCCGGGCTTCCACGGTAACCCCATCTCCCTGAGCTCCTGCCACCTGAAGTCCCCACCACACACTGGTCTGTCAGTGCGCCATGCTGTGGCGGCCGCCATCCTGCTGGATGGGCCACCTGTCAGCCCACCGGGTCCTCTATGGTGGAGAAGGCTCAGCAGTTTCCAGACGGAAGAGAGATCAGGAAGAAGAACCACTGTTTAAGAACCCTGCTGGCTGCTGCAGCCCACGGGGGAGGGAGGCACTGCCCACACTGGGGCCACAGTGACTCCAGCTCACCAGCAGTCAGCAGTCACAAAGGGGCTGCAGGAACGCCAAGGAACAAAGGTCACATTCACGCATGCATCGCAGAAGCCAAGGCAGGAAGAGGTCAGCGAGAGCCCCAGCAAAACCATCAGTCACGTGCAAGGCTGATCCCCAAGACTGGCCCCAACCAGGTGCCTGCAAGGTGAGCTCTTCTCCTGCAGGTGTCTCGGCCATCACCGTGCTCCATGCTCACGGGGGGCCTCAGGCTGCGAGTAGCACCCAGCCTCCGCTAAACACACACGTCACTGCGCCAGGTTTCATAAAAACAATTTTAATAGAAAAGTACAAGATACGAACAAAAAATAAATAATCTTTCTCTCATTCCTAGCCCTTCAAGCTGTACATTGTGGATAAAAATGGTCTAAAATGCAGTTTTCTTCTGCTCCCTCCTTTTAAAAAATTCTAAAGACAGCATCTTTATTCAGTTGTCTAGATTCAAATAGACACAGTTAAAGAAAGAATAGGGAACCACCGTTTAATCACTCTACAGCCACTCTTTGAAGTTGGCTCACAAGATCTCTCACGAAAGGAAAGCCTCAAGCACTCATCTGATCCAGATGCCAGTCCACGGGAACAGGTGGGGCCCAGGATGCCTTTGCGACGCTCCCCTTCTTAACGCTCCTTACAGTTTCCTACAAAGCTAGTCTTACCTCCTAAACGTGCCCTCTAGTTTTGTTTCACCCATTCCAGTGAGAAGAAAACAAGCATTCGATATAAATATTCATTTTTTACAGTGACAATGCAGTATTTTAGACCTATGCCTTGGTGCGTGGTTTTTATATCCTTCAAGTTACAGCTATTTTTTCCCTGTTGATTTCTCTATTTATGTACAGACCACTCAGTCCTTGGGGACTGTTGTGGTTAATAATCACTTAAGGTCAGCCAATCCCAGCCAGTCTCTTTTTTAGAATTCTTATAACACGGTCCTTCAGAAAGGCTGCAGAGTGGGTCTTGGTGATAGAAATCGAATACCCCACAGACTGCAGGAAATATAGCCAGAATGCTTCCTGCCCGTGAGGAAGGGGACACTTGGACGTGGGGTGCGGACCGACCAGGCCCTGGAGAAGGGCATTTGCTCAGGAAAGCAGCGTCCACAAAGGAGGAAGACCTTCCACAAGGTGGCTGGACACAGCGACTGCCACCGAGGCCCCAAACGACCGGGCAGCCAGCGCCTCGCTCAGTCCTAGGTAGGGCAGCTGCGTGAAGCCAGATCGAGCGCCTAAAATCCCACCCTAGGCTCGACGAGCCCAGTTGCTTGAACTGGGGTTTGCAAACACCAGCAGTCGACTGCTATCGGCAAACTCGTAAAGGGCGAGGGGCTAGGGGTGCGCCCAACCCCACAGAGTGCCAGTCTGAGGCGATCAAAAACTCAAAGGGCTGAACAGGTAACGCTGGTCTCAAACTGGTCTCTCCTGTTCTGGAGCCACAAGGACCATGTGGACCTACTTATGCACTGTTGGTTGATTTTCCTGAAAACCCACCTGGAGGAGAAGGGGGAATGCCGCCACTCCTCCAGGGAGCATGTTTTTGCCGTAAAGAATGCTGGTCAATATACAACTGAGGAAAAACTGAAACAGATGTGAGCCCCAGAACCACAAGGGTTTGCATTTGCCCAGAAATGCTATTTTAAACACTCTATATGTTGGTCTGCTTTTTGGTGGAATAACGCATTCTTGGCACCCTTCAAAGGTTCCAATGTTACAAGGTTATCCGTAAAGAACAGTGAAAACGGGGTTCCCGGATCTACCTGGGCGCTGCGGCCAGACCTGGGGGTATATTTTCCTAGTCAAGGCACTGAGCACAGCAAACCTTCTGTTTCCAACGAGGCTCCCTCTCTGTGGACCGAGGCTTGTCTTCCACGCAGCTGCTTTCAAAGGGGCTGGGGACCCCGCACACACTCCCGGGAAAACTCAAGCCGAGAGGGGCAGGGGTTGCGGCAGTGCAGTACAAAGACAGCAGTTTTTTAAAAATAAAACAAAAAACAACTCAAAGTCTGGTCAGGGGTAAAAACCTGGGCCTTTTCGGTTCCTCTCCAGGCTGTTACAGCAGCAGCACGCTCTAAAACAATTAGTGACATGCATAATGCTGAAAGAATTCGAGCCATCCCATAACCAGCTTTAAACCATCTGCTCAATTTCTTTAAGGGGGGGTGGGGGTGGGAGCACATGTGGGAAGAGCGAGATCTTTAATTCCGTTACATACAGAAATCCTCTGAAGCTTCCAAATGCAGCTGAGTTATTGGTAACAACGTGCCACTCCTCCTGTCACTTCGGCGTGACCCACCCCCCAAACTGTCCCTCATGATGCCTCCAAAAATCTCCACGTGAATTCTCTGAAGGACAATGAAGAAGCCACTTACCAAGAGACAAGGAACATTTTATTTTATATTCTATCTTCCATGAGGCAGAAGCCTTTCAATGTGTGTTTTTAAAAAAACAACAGTGGAATGTACACATCACACAGGACAGAAATATGTACATTAAAAGTACAGCATAAAGGCCACAGAGGCTATACATCATATCTGAATGGCAAGTAGACTATTTTACATTAAATAGTATCTCTTAAAAGCTAAGGTTGTTAAACTCAGCTCTCTTCATCAACAGGAATTACTCAAAAGAAACAAAATCTCACTTAGCAAACTAAAACCACCTCTTCCTGGTTTTTGTAGAATAAAAACCAAAAAAGTGACGCTTGAAGCTGGTTAGTGCTTTTTAATTTCAAGATCTTTTGCGACTCCCTGCAACGGGGGCGGGGGCGGGGTAGCCTTGTGCAATAAGTTAAGAGCGGCTGAGGGGGCTGGGCGCCACCGATGGGCACCTTTCCAAGGTCAGAAGGCACACATCAGGACACACGATGGCCACTGTGGTAAACAGGTGTCCCTGCTTTAAACAAACCGAAAAAAATGAAACCCAAATAACTAGCTGTCACTTTAATGAGCCGCCTGCACCCACTGCTGTGGTGTCAACCCTGACCCCACCACCCTCCAGGACAGAGCGGAACTGCCCCATGGAGTGCAGCAGTGACCTCCGTGGAAGCAGACTGCCACACCTGTCTCCCACAGAGCAGCGGGTGGGTTTGAACTGCCTACCCCTGGGCGGCAGGCCAGCACTTCACCACTGCGCCACCGTTGTCCCCTGTGCTGAAGGAACCACAGAAAAACAAAAAAACACATTAGCGATGCTTCTGAGTTTTGAATCAGTCTTAGTTTCCACGTCTCTGACGAACCAGTAATGCCCTCTCTGGAAAGTATATAGACACAGAGGCTGAATAACAGGGGGTCAGTAGGAAGTTGTGGGGGGCGGGGGGGCACAGGGAAGACCAAACACATCTTCAAACTAACATGCCTTTCAGAGCCACACCTTCAAGATGCCTCCCCCAAATTGGGCTGCTCCTTGGTGCTCAAGACAGGGACGAGGGAGGCATCAGACTCCCAACTGACAGGCAAAGACCAGGAACACTGGCAGCAAAGATCCCACCTGGATTGCAAGAAGGGGCCAGGGCATCCCAGACAGAGAGAGAACCCCAGAGTAAACTGTGAGTCACTGGACGCACGGAGATAGAATTATATTTATATTTATATATGTATATTATATATATGTGCTATGTACAAAAGACTGAGATATCAGGCACCTTTAGACCACATTTCCCCTCCTTATAAATGTAACTGCTCAGGTACACTAGGAACAGTTTGGGGTACACCTGCAGTTACTAGGAACAGTTTGCGGTATACCTGCAGTACACTAGGAAGTTTAGGGGACACCTGCGGTACACTAGGAACAGTTTGGGGTACACCTGCAGTACGCTAGGAAAAGCTCAAGTGGATAGTCTAAACACAGGAACAAGGTGTGAGGGGCTGCTACACATCTCTGAACCCCACTCGTCCTGGAGGTACAATAAAATAGAAAAGGACTGATCCTCAAACAAGAAGTGTTAGGGGACCCCCCCACCCCCCAAAGAAGTGAACTATTTCCCAAGTGGACTCCTAAGCTTTCATTTCTCCTCCCTGGAGGGGCCCGTGGAGAGCTGCCCTTTGGAACTGGGGCCCGCAGCCCAGCCAGGAGGAGTCAGAGGAGGCTTGCGGGTCAAGGGCAGAGAGCGGATCTAACGGAACTTCTTTGTCAGCCAGCTCTTCTGCTCCGGGCAGTAATGAGCTGTGTGGCTTGTCAGTCGCTGGGTGCCCGGGCTGCGGAACTGTGAATAGAATCGGGGTCCTTTTCACTACAGTATTATCATGTATTAACCAAGCATCCTGTTGACATTACAGGATGTTTTCTCATATAACCAAGCCGACGCCTCTCCCCCACATGAAGTCTAGCACCAAGAATCCTTGGGGGGGGAGGGTTCTTCTCCAACAGGAAGGGTTAGGGTTCCTGACACGGTTTAAGTCGCTGTCGTAACAGAGATATTGGAAGGTTTGTTGCTTGCTCCCTTTCCTCTTAAAAAAAATTTTTTTTTAATTTCTGGGGTTGTTTCTCTCTACTGTCCAAGTTTCCCTGTCTATCAGAGCAGGATCATCGTTTTGCTGAAGGGTGGGAATGTACGACAGCTCCCCGGCCCTCGCCCAGGACGATGAGATTCTTACTCTTAACATTTTAAACCACCATTTGAAAAACACAAAAAAAGCAGGCAGGCAGGCAGGCCCCCTTGGGAAGCTCTCTCATTTTCTTGCTGCTATTTCTCAAGACCCCAGAGGGACCTTGTACATTCCGCAGGGCATCCACCGTTCCTTGGGGTCGCCGAGGCTGAACCGAGCGTGGATCTGTCCCCTGCGGTCCAGCCTCTTCCTACCGATCCACACCAGTCCCCGGGCTTCCTGTACCGTCTGGATGCGCCCCATAAGCCCTGCGCGGTGCACAGACTGTGCGTGCGATTCCCCTGCTCCGATGCCATCCAAATTGGTTTTGCATTACCTTTTAAAAGATCGACACAATAAATACTTCTTCTGGCTTCCCTACCCCCACAATATTGCCAAATAATAATTATAATATTAATAATAAAGTACAGAGTTCTTCGAGAGGAACAGAAGGGGCAGAGAAAAGGGGAGGAGGGGTAGAGGGGTTTCAGTTGTAGGGGGGGGGTGTGGAAACAGAATATCAAAAAGAACACCACCCAGAATCCCTGTACTTTCTATAAATAAGTGGGTCTTGGGCGTGGGGCCGGTGGGCGCCCACTACTTGCACACGAACTGGTCCACAATCTCCGTGCACTTCTTACACTTGACGTAGCAGCACCAGTGGAACTTGCAGTGGCAGCGTTCGGTCTGCACGGTCTTGAACTGGTCGTAGCCGCGGCCGCAGCACATGAGCTCGCAGCCGTCCATGCCCTCGGAGGTCTTGTTGCAGAGGCGGCCCTGCGTGCCCAGGGAGCCCGTGCTCTCGTTGCGCACACAGTAGTCGGGGCTGGGGTCGATGTAGACCAGGTCCTGCGTGGTGGGCGAGTTGAAGCGGCTGTTCGCCTGCACCAGCTTGCCCCGGCTGCTGAGCCGCATGGCCGCCGCGCTGTCGAACTTCTCCTTCAGGGCGTCGCCCACCTTGCGGAAGTCTGCCAGCTGCAGCCAGCACGTCTTGAGGCTGCAGGAGCCGGACACTCCGTGGCACTTACAGGCCACGTCGGCCAGGTTGTACACCGTCTGCAGGGAGACAGGGGATGGTCATCACAGAGATCCCCAAGGGAGGCATTTGCATGGGGGGGGGCAGGCAAGGAAGCTCTCCTCCCTGACCTTCCACAGGGGCCCAGGGGTCACTGGCTGAATTGCCAGTGCAGCAGAGCACATCGAGTGGAGGCCAGCTCACTGCAACCTGCGTGGGTCAGAGGAGCACTGGGCTCCTCAGAGCAGCCCTGTAGCCATCCACTGATTGACGGCAGACTGCCAGGCCTTTCTTCTGAGGTACCCCCAGTGAAGTCAGCAGCCGAGTGCATCTGGGACTGCACGAGGGAGGGAGGAGAGGGAGGGAGGGATGTGGCCCTGGGATTTGGTAAAGATCACAGGGAGCACTTCCTGGGTCTCCACCCCCAGGAGGCCTGGGCTGTCTTCTCAAAATGTGGACAAAGGAGGTGCTCAGCTCCCACGGGGCCAGACTGGCCGCCGAGTTTGGCTTGCAAAAGGGCAAGAATTGGAAACGACTGCACACGTCCGGAGTGGGAACAGGAAGAAGAGGGAAAAGTCCCCGTTGCTTCTTTCTGGCAAAGAAACCGTGAGCAGCGCATGGTAGGTCGGGAACCCTCGCTCCAGAGACCGCTCACGTCTCTCGGGCTGTCTCGGGATTCACTCCTACAACCAGCCTGGAAGGGAGGGGCTATCTTTCCTCGTGTCCACTTCACAGAGCAGAAGAACAAGGACCAGGGAGGGCAGTCACTCACGAGTGACTTGCCGAACCTCGGGGAAGTAGGGGTGCCGTGGGCTGTACGCTGAGCACCTACACAGAAGAGGGATGAGGCTGTCTCCTCCCATGAGGTCTTTAAAAGTCAGACCCCTAGTAGGTCGCTGTGAGCTGGAATCGACTGGAGGGCAGGGAGTCAGAGTTCCGACGGCCTTTCCCAAGGACACTGAGCTGCTGCCTGGCAGGCAGAGAGGAGCTGAAGCACAGGTGGGCGCTGGGTTCCAATCTCTCCCTGCTATGGGTACCACTGCTGTACGCCAAGGACTGTCTGTCACAGGCCTTTACTGCCTGAACCCTTGCAGTCACGGACGGTCTCCCAGCTGGACTATAACGGTGACAGAGATACAGAGAAGCCTGCACAGGTCAGGGGGGCTAGAATAAGGTGTGTGTGGGGTGGGGTGGGGGATGCCTGCTGATTTGGTCTCACTTTAGTTTCCCTGAATAGTGCCCCACCCTGGAAGCAGATGCCTGGGTTCTAGTCATGATTCTGACCCTGCATTCAGGCAACTGGCTTCATCCACCTCTCTCTGAACCTGTCTTCTGTCTTTGGAGGGACCGGGGTGGTACCAGCCCCCAGCCTTGTTCTAAGGGTAGAAGGATGAGGCAAGTGGCCTGGACAACACCTGGAAGGAGCAGGCAAGTAACAGATCTCACCTGCTGTCCCCAAAGGAGCCCAGTGGGTAATGGTCAGTGGTTGAAACCCACTGGCTGCTCTGTGGGGGAAAGATGAGGCCCTGGGATATGCTAAGGGTTACAGCTACGGAAACCCCAGGGAGCACGTCTATGCTACCCCACAGGGGGGCTATGAGTCGGAATACATTTGGTTTGAGTTTTCACCTCTCCCAGAATGACCGGGGCATGGCATCCTCACACAAGGCCCCTGCCTGGCCACCCCAGGTCTCCCAGGAGCAGCACTCCTGGGGCCAGTCCCAGAGCACCATGCCTAGCGGTCCTACGCTGCCCACTGACAGCTCTGGCTGCCCACAGCTGCTCTCGCTCATGATCTTGGAGTTGGTATGGTGCTGACCTGCCGTCAGGGACCTGGAGGCCAGGCTGAGTTCCAGGGACATTTCCACCCGGGATTCACAGGGGCTCCCTTAAGAAAGGGGCCCAAGTGTACACTGAGGCAGAGTGAGTTCCCTGGACTCCTCTGTCTGAGGGAGGGTTTTGCAAATGGATTTAAACCTTTGCTCTCCCTCAAGGAAAACAAAGCAGATGTCCTGCGGAGAGTCTAATGTGATTTCCTGGCTCTGTGGGACTGTGCCCTCTCTTCACCAGCTTCAGCTCCCAGGATCCTAAAGGGGGAAATCCCCCCGCCCAGGCTCTGAGCTCAGCTCACTGAAGGGCTATCCATACTTTGTTGTCTGTCTACTTAACTGCGGACACTGGATAAAATCACAGTGGCCAAGATGCTGTCCCTAATCCCAAATCCCCTAGTGCCATGAGGAAGTCCCTGGACCCTTCCAGCCTTGGTGGCCAAGCATGCAATTGTGTCTCTATGGGAGAGAGGTCCCAGAGTGACCGGGTGGGTCGGGTAGGAAGTCAGTCCCTCTCTGCCCTGAGTCCCTTCTGGTCCCTGGTGATGGGCACGTCTTCTGCACAAAGAACAATGCGCCTCTGCAGAGGGCCCAAGCAGTTGTAAGGGCAGACAGCAGACAGCGGGCAGCCTCACACTGAGCAGCAGTGGACGGTTCTAGCCACCTGCAGCTATTGGGGAGTGGGGTGGGGGGAAAAGTGAGGCCGTGCTCCCTCTAGGTTGGCAGATGACTAAGGTGGCAAGATGAACAATGATTTGATCCCGAAAACCAGCACGCCCCCCCTACCCCCCACCGCCCCCAAACATCTAACAGCCAGGTTGAGAAGAAGCACTCACTACTGGCTCACACTAACCTCCCGGCTAGCCTTGGATGGGACTACGAAATTCTCATTATATCAGTAAAAAAACCAAAACGTCCAATGTTGACAACTTCGTAGGGTTCGGCCTAAGATGTGATTTCACTTGGTCCCCACAATCACTTGGTCCCCTTGAGCATCTGTCTGGGCCATTGACACGGATGCAGGAACTGAGGCTCAAGACGAAAAGGGGACAGAGCTCGATTTCCACGAAGCCAAATAAAGCCTTATCGCCCCACCCCTACCCTCTCCTCAGCGCCTACCTCCCTGTGACAAACTGGCTTAAGAACGATAGTTTAAAAACACATTTTTAAAGCAGCTTGGGCTTGTATCAAAATCTAGTTTTCTTCCATGGCACTGGTGTGGGTCTCTGGGCCTCAGTTTCCCAATTGTAGAGCAAGGCACAGGGACAGAGGGGCATGTGGGTCTGGGCCTCAGGTTCCCAGTCTCTACAGTAAGGGCAAGGGGACAGAATGTTTTAGGGCTCCTTCCAGCCCCCCTCTGCGATTACCTTTCTTTTCCTCATCCCCGCAATATGGAAGATCAGGTCTTCCACCAGGAAGTTGCTGGCCCCCACAGCGGGCTGTGGGTGTCGTGAAAAAATCACAGCACTGGTGCTTGGTGCTACCCATGTGAAGGCAAGCCTTGCCCGTTCACTGTAAGGCCGTCATAACGCCCATGTGTCTCCGGGCAGGGCAGGCTGTGCATTCCACTCCCATGGGGCAGCAGGAATGGGGAGGCCTGCGGGGGAGGGGGTGCATCCAAGACCTTCCCGCTGTGCACCTCTGAGCTCTTCTCCCCCGCCCCCAGAGGGAGTCTGAGCATCGAGGTCCGTAACATTCCATACTGCTAACCATACTGGGCTTTTTTCCTAGAAACGTTCTTTGACAAACAAGCCCGGAGCAACTCTGGCCAGTGATCTTGTGACCAGAGGACAAGGGGGCTGGAACAGGGAAGGTCAGGGAGCAGGGGTCCTCCTGGGATAAACAGCGTCCTCTCTCGGAGGGGTGAGTCCAATCCCAGACTGGGGACAACTCCAGCAGCAATTCAGTGTCTGGCTGACTGGTCATTGCCACCCACGGGTGACTCGGTATGGGGGCGGGGGGGGGGGGGGGGGGGGAAAGGGGGGGGGGCCCCCCCCGGGGGGGGGGCCCTGTGGGGGGGGGGGGGGGGGGGGGTGTCAAAAGTGAGAGGATCCCCTCCCCCAGCCTCTCCTGGGCGTGGTCCATCTGAGGAGAGGCCAGTGGGTGGGTGGGCCTATGTGAGGAAAGAGACGTTAAGAGATAGACAGACAGACATACACGTGCACACACACACACACACACACACCCTAGGAGAAAGGGCAGAGGGCAGAGAAAGAGAGGGATGTGAGGCAGGGTGGGACACACAGACCATGAGACAAAGCAGGAGGGGGAGGGGGGGTGGGGACACCCAGGGGTGCAGGCACTCACCCGGCGGCCCGCCTCGTTGTTGTGCAAGTTCATGAGGATTCGGGCACTCTCATAGGACCCCTTGGCGTGGATGCGCTCCCTCTCCCGCGCGTCCACGAACTCCTTGGCGAAGCGGTAGCCATAGTCAATGTTGTCGCCGCAGCCCCCCCACAGCCAATCCCTGGGCAGGTCCTTGGGGCGCGCAGCCCGGCTGCAGCCACAGGTGGACAGCTCGCCCTCGCGGCAGGCTCGGCTCATGGCGTTCACCACCCCTGCAGCGCTCACAGCGTAGGTGAAGGCCGTCTCTCTGCTGCCTGCAAACAAGGAGGCAGGTCTGGTCATCGGGGCCTGGCCCACCCAGCAGTCATGGGCCCTGCAGGATGGACCAGGGCACACGCCTCTGGACCCTCCTGTCACTGCAGCCCATGGGGGTGGGGGACGGCAGGGGCAGAGGTTAGGCCAGGAGGTACTCCATTCCCTGCTGCTGTCCTCTGGGGCAACGAAATCCCCCAACGTTAAGGTACCCCCAAGATGCCCCTGGGGGAATCAAGGACCCTCCCCCATCCCCCAGGCCTTGGGCCCCTCTTGACAAGAAGCAGAGAGAAGCACATAAAACAGGGCCAACTCCAAACGCATGGGGTACACGCGGACTCAGCACCCCCTGCAGGTGTGTGGAACGGTGACTGCTAAAGGGGATAGAAAGCCCTTTCTGCCCAGGAGCTGCTGGTGGTTTCAAACTGCTGACCATGCGAATCGCAGCCCCCCACACATCACCACCACGCCAGCAGCACAGCACCAGCACAGGAAAGACTAGCAATGATCTTCGTGCGGACACATCAGGGCCCAGGACCGGCTTCTAACAGTGCCCTCCAGTTCCTCCGCCACCCTCAAATTCTCCACTGGAGGCTCTTCCGGGAGACCTTGGGACTGGGTGAATCCCCGTACGCTTGGGTTCACGTCAGTATTGTTTCCCACAGAGGATAAGGACCGCAGGTGCGGTGGCGGTCAGGACCCTGGAAGCTTTCCAAAGCCCCCAAACAAACTCACTGCCATCGAGTCAACTCCGACTCGTAATGACCCAGCGGGCCGCGCACAACTGCCCGGTGCGCTGGTTTCTGAGGCTTTGACTCTTTACAGGAGTGGAAACTCCCAGGCTCCTGCTTCTCCCCACGACTGGCCCCTGCAGCCGTCCTCCTGTCAGCCTCTTGGGGCCTGTGGCCCCTCCTCCTCCTCGGTCCAGTGCCACCAGAGTCGTATTTGCAGAATAAAGCTTTCTGTGCCATGGGCCCCTTCGACACCGGATCCCGGAGCATTAGAACTGGCACCTGCCTCTTCTCAAATCCAAATTGATTGGTGTGATCACCTTTCAGTCAAGGATGTCTGCTTTGTAAGTAGCCTGATGCTCTTCCACACCACTTCCACAGCCCTCCAACCCCGAGCCTCTGCCTCAACTGTTAGAAAGACAGCAAGGGGTGGGGGGTGGGGGCAGACAATCTGGGGGAGGAGAAGGGAAAAACAAGTTTTCTCCTTCCCTAGAACTCGTGAAGCATCTCTTTCTCTCGAAAGCAGACAGAGGAGCCTTTTGGCAAGGAGGGGGAAATGGAGGCAAATACACATGTCGGGCTGTGATCTGCATGGTCGGCAGTTCTAAACCACCAGCTGGTTCTGTGAGAAAGACTAGCCTTTCTACTCCCATCAATAGCTACCGTCTTGGAAAGCTGGAGGGGGTCGCTGTGAGTCGGCAGCCAGTAGAGTGAACCTGGGCATTCCCACAGGTCACGGGGGCACCTCAATCAAAAGAGGACGTTGCACAATGAGACAGCCGGGATTCGTGCCTGGTTAGGCAAAGTTGGGCCTGGAGGGGGCAGTGGGGTGCAGGGGTCTCACTTCTGGAAGACAAGGGACTTGACCTGGATGTCTGAGAGGAGAAGCCCCCTTCCAGCACTGAACTCCCTGCATCAGAATCTCTCCCTCCTACACTTGGGCCAAGAGCTTGGGGACAATTGTGTTTGGAGGGAGAGGGGTGAGCACACCCAGAGCTGGCAGACTCAGCCCAGCCCAGAGCGTGACAGTGCCACGTCCAGATCCTGCAGGAGGGTTCTCTGGACTCCGAGCCCAGCTCTCCATCCACAGCCACTGGTAAGCAACAGCCCCTGAAGGCCACAGCTCCTATGAACCGCAGGTCCACCCTCTGCCCTTCTGAACAGGGCGAACTTGAAGAGTGTGCTGGTGGCTGGCAAGAGGCCCCCAGAGCCCCTGTGTGGCGCCGAGTCTACCTCAGCTTGCAGGAGAGAGGCCCAGAAGGTCAGGCGGGGGGTGGGGGGGTAGGGGGGTGGAGGGAAGCTAGGAGAGCAGACAGATTCTTGGGAGTTATTTGAGGATTAACACTGATAAAACAGTAAGTGCTGTGTCCCTGGGGGGAGTCCTGCAGGTGGGTGAGGTTACAGCTGGGGGATGAGCAGAGATAGCGAACCCAGGAGGAAGGAGGAGAACCAGTCCTTCTCCGTGGAGGATCCACAGAGCAGACAGGGGCTTTGATATAAAAACACAATCAGGCTGCTTTGTAACAAATCTATCTTGAACATTTCCTTCCTTTCCAACCCACACCCCACACCTTTCAGAAGACAAACTATCTGGACTCCCCGGTGCTGACAGGGGAAATAGCCCTTTGAAAAGTACTTGGGGAAGAACAGCCCAGATCCAGAGTCACCGTGGACGGAAGACGGCTCATGCCGTGAAGTGAGGCTTCCTTCTGTGACCCGGTTGTGGACTTGGGTGCTCACACCCCTTCCAGAAGGACCCTCTCTTGCTACCCCTTTCAGACAAAGAAGAGGCAGGACAAAAGCCGGGAGGAGAGGGGAACAGGATGAAAAATGAGCAAGCTTCCCGAATGGAGCCTGAGCAGGGGCAGCAGCAGCAATTGTGTGCCCTGCCTCCTTCCAGGCAGGGGGCACCTTAGAAAAGGGACCAGAGGAGCGCTGGGGGGGGGGGGCTATCCACCAGGTTCCTGGGTCAAGTCAGATTTGCACAGAATTAATTATTCCCCACGGCCCTGGTGTATCCAGAGCCTTGGGGGTGGGCCCATATATACCTTCCAGCATCTCAGGGCTTTAAATTTTCCCTTTGCTCATTCTCCTCAGACACACGTCCATCCCATAAAAGGGACCGTGAACATGAAGGGAACGTTCCTTCTACGACAGTGGTTCTCAACCTTGCTCATGCCGCGACCTTTTAACACAGTTCCTCATGGGGTGGCGGCCCCCAATCATAACATTATTCTCATTACTACTGCATAACTGCCATTTTGCTACAGTAATCAATCGGGAAACCCCTGTGAAAGGGACGGTCGACCCCCAAAGGGGTTGCGACCCACAGGTTGAGAACCACTGCTTTACTGAGATTGGGAACGTGGTCCTCTTTCATAAAGATCTCTTCTGGGTTTTCTTCTCCCCATCGCTTATTTAAAATCAGTCAGAGAGAGAAGGCCCCAGTGGTGCCCCAGCCCGCCCCGCCCCACAAGCAGGTAACCGGCAGCAAAGGTCTGCCGTGGAAGGGCCGAGGCAGATGCTGCACGCACTCTCATCTTCCCGAAACGAAACATCAGCTGACGTGGTGACAGGACCATCAGGAGGCAGCACTCCCACCCCCATCCCCGGAACGCAGACAGCACTATAACACTGAGGGGCGAGGGCCGGCCAGCCAGTGGGCTTGGGCAGGATGATTAAATGTGGGCCTTGACACCCAGGGTTCTGCCTGTTCCCCGAGCAAGGAGGCTCTTTGAATCTTGGACCGCATTTTAAGTACATCCCCGGCAGACCTCAATTTCACTTAGCAAATGAGAGTCTTATTCTGAACACTTTGGCCGCAGACAGAAGACCAGAAGAAGATCTTAACTCCAAGCTGGGCTCCAGTGACGGAGAGCACAGAAAGCATTTCCAACGGCTGGTCACCATCCGAGGTGCATGGGTTTTGCTAACGCACACCCATACACAGGAAACGTGTCCAAGTGGAGGGGACGCGCACTAGCCAGGGGACCCTTGAAGGGAGGAAAAGGGACACCTGGCCATTCTGACCTAGCAACACAAGCAAACAAACAAACAAACAAAACCGGTGGTAGCTACACTCGCTCACCACGTGCAAATACAGGAGAAAGGCATCTCCACCCCACCTCCAGGTAACCAGCTAAGGGGGTCCACATTCAAGGAAAACTTGTGTTTCTGCAGCTGAACTTCTGGATTCGGATCCCAGCACCTACATTAGCACATTTTAATCATTAACAGAAAGGACAAAGCGCTAGGAAACCTCACAGGCCGAGGCTACAGCCCACTTGGCCATTCAATTCGAGAAACAGCTTCTTGGCTGTATTATTTTAGTTTATGAAGCTGCCTGGCTCAGGCAGCCAATGACAACTCTTTTTTGTTCTCAATGAATGCACTTTTCAGGTTTTGTGAAAAAGCATTTTAGCCATCCGTGATGGATACTCAGCCAACTTCTTATTTGTGGTCATGATAAACAGTTCATTGCTTTGATAAAACTGCTGGCTATTTTAGAAGTCACATTCATTATAAGGGCTTGTATGCACAAAAGTAAAGAGACCTGAAATATTCACACTAGAAAACACCGTGCACACACACACACACATACACACACACACTCTCTCTCTCTCAACTCTCTCTCTCTCTCTCTTGGCCACATCTATCAAACAGTATTGCATCCTCTAAGGTTAAGCCAAACCAGAGGCAACCTAATTTTTCAAAATTGTTCCTTATAGCCCTGTTTTAGTACTATCATCCCTCTGAAACAAATAGCATATCTAAAAATTAAGAGTTGAAGTGTGTTATCTTTAACAACACCTTTAAAAAGTAAATTTCTAGGTTGACATCCCTCCCTTCTGGACTGGTTATCAATTGGCCAAATCAGACATGTAAATGGGATAACTTCTAATTAAGATTCCTTCTGGAATTAAAATAAAAGCTTTTAACGTATATATCCTGAAACGTCTATAATAGGTACGTTAAAACCTCCTTCACTTCCGACATGCTCAGCAATCTGAGAGATGGCGATTTTTAGCTGTTTTGGATATTTGAATGATGGCTTAAGTTAAGAAACGTCAGCGAGGCCAAAAGGGTTTCAAGTGTAAGAGTATAAATGACTCGGCTACTTCTGAGATGCCAAAAGGAATGTTCTGCTTCTGTTTGCAACAAAACTTTTTTTCACAAAAAAATCTGAGCACTAAGTGTCTGGGATCCAGCTTCTCTTTTTTTAGGTTAAGAAATGCCAAAATTTATCATCAAGGGAGGGAATCAGAATTAAAACCAATAGTCATCATGACAAAAATCTCCAAATCCATTACCACAAAATCAAGGATATGGGCAAGCACTAGAGAATTTTCTAGGACAAAAGTGTGTTTGTGCATACACATGCATGTATACACACACGCATGCATCTATGTGTGCACATACACACACGTATATATCCACGTACATATTTTGACATGAAACGGTTTCCTACCTATCTGCATGACCCTGCCAAAGACAGAGGTGTTATCCACCGTGCTGCAGTTCCATCTCCGGTGTCGGAATTGATACTGGCATTCTTTGATGCCCGTCTTGGCGCCTTCTCCGATGTACTGCATGTGGTCCTGGTACAAGTGGCACAATTTCTTCTGTCCTTGAGACAGTCCTGCCAGTTGGCTGCAGAGAGGCTGCGCTCCTATGATATATACTTCTGACATCTGAACAGGGTTATTCATACCTAGCGACCTGAAACAGGGCAGGAAGATGCACACGGGAGATTCGCATGGGCCTCTGAGCTCGGCCAGCAGGCATGTTTGCAGCAGCTTACGGCCGCCGCCAAGAGCACACAGATGCTTTTCAACTCCGCTTGTCCTCACGACAAAGTCTGAGGAGGGCTTTGTGAAACGCCTCTGTCTGAACTCCAAACTGAGGCGCTGTGCAGCGGGGGAGGGGGGCCCCCATCCCTCCTGCCAGCTGGCCCCTTGGTTGGGGCTTCCTTGCCCCTGTTACCATGGACCTAAACCCACATTTCCGAAACTCACTCAGAAAAAAGGGGCAAATGTTAGTTCCAGGGATGGGCCTCTGGCATTAGTGACTCGCGCTGTCCCACAAAGTGGAAGGTCTGCACCAGTCGAAGACACACAACTGCCCACACTAGACACAATCAGACATGGGTGGAAGAGAGCAGTTACCTCTGACTGATGGAAGACCTGGGGGTGGGGGTAGGGGAGCGGGGAGCAAGGACATATAGAAGGAAGAAAAGGCAGCACAAGTTCCAGGGCCTTTTAAAAGGGCTCCTTGTGTGATCCTCAAGGACCCCAAACAAGGGAGCCAGGGAACAGAAGGAATGTTGACAGTCAGGGGGAAAACGCTGTGCGTTTACAGGGCAGAAATATCCAGAACGCCGTCAAAAACAATCCTCCGGATATAGTACAGTCCCGCGAGAAAGCCCACAGCAAAGAGAAACTCTCCTTTAGGGGCATTCGACTACTTCAACTTAACCTTCCTTTGATCAGCTTTCAAGTCCAAATACTTCCCCACTTGGAGCTTGGTTGTTCCCTAGAACTCTGCCTACTTCAGTAGATTAATAACCTCAAGTGGCAGAAAATAAAAGCTGAAACTCACTTTTACTGGCCAGAGGTGGCAAAAATAAATTTTATAGATAGGTTTACAAAGATTCGGGACGTGCACTTGCTCCCCCTTTATTATCTGATGTGCTACAAGCACACATCCGACAGGGGCCTAGATTTTTTTAGGTTCCAATTCCCTGTGGAGCAGAAGGTAAGCATTACAATAAGAGGAAATTAAAAGAAAACTCATATATACATCTGTCATATATATTTGAATATGCACATTTAGAAATAACATGTATGTGTGTGCCCGCGCATGACAAACGCACCCCGAATTCCTCTCTTCTGCTTGAAACGTTGCAGTATCTCACACACAAATCTCAATACACAGAACACCCCCAAACAGCTTCAGGCACACAGAAAACTTACCACCAGGAGCTGGCCTCTACGACCACCTGGGCGACCGAGAGGAGGGCCGCCAGAGCCATGAGAAAGAACCTGGAAGGCATTGCACGGCCAGCAGTGCCCAAAGCAACTCCGGGGCTTAATGTTCCAACGGACGTCTGCAGAGGGAAAAAGGAGAGGTTTAGTGCCTCTCAGATAATTGTCAAGGATACAAGTTTAGACAACGGGAGCATCCGGGTCTCTAAGTTTACTGTCGATTGACTGCGCTTCTCCTCCGTGAGGTTTCTGATGGCAAGATATAGGCAGTCTCTTTTTCCAAATTAACCCACCCACGCAACCTCACCAGGAAATCTGATTTCGCTGGGATCTTGAGCGCAGGGCACGCCAGCGATTAGAAACATGTCTCAATGCTGTTGAGTCAGAGCCCCGGTGCCAGGCGCTGCCTCCTTCCTGCTCGCCGGCGTCCCGCACCCCTCGCTCCCCTCTAGGTCGCGTGGGACTTGGTCCCTCCGCGGGAATTCACTCGGAACCCGCCGCCACCCTCATCCTCTCCCCGACCTGGGCCGCGCAACAAGTGGAGCGGGGATGAATTCCATGGGCGAGGGGAGCGCAGCGGAAGGACGGCGAGTGCAGCGCGCGCCCGCCCGCCCGCCCGGCGGCTGCGGAGGAGGCGGGGTGGCCAGCGCTGGTGGGGGTGGGGGCAGGACGCGGGAGGGCAGGGCAGGGGGTGGGGGGCGAGGCCCCGGGGACCGGCGAGAGCTAGAGAGCCCAGCTGGGAAATGCAGCTCCGAATTAACATCGTATGTTTCATAATCAGTTTACGGGCCGATTTGGGGAAGCCACTTCCAGATGGGAAAGGCAGGCCAGGCTTCCTTCAGGACGCGCTCCAGCCAGAGTGGGGCGGGGAGGAGGAGAGGGCGAGCCGCGCAGGGGGCGCAGAGGAGAGGCACTGCCTCTCCTAACAAAAGAGAGGAAAGCAGTGCCCCCTCCCTCTCCTCCCCGAGGTCTTGGGTGGGGTGTATACTCTAAGAAGGGCTGGCGCCCCTGAGAAGCAAAGCGGGACTGGGTCCTGCAGTTCTCTGACAGGGTCGGCTCCCCCTGCCCAAACCAACATGCATTTCGCAAAGCTTGCTTTTTCACTTGCCCTCCTTTCCAAAAGGCTGCCCGGGGAGCCTAAGTCCTGCTTAGGACAGACTCCAACTTCCCTGGCCTTAGTCTGGGGGTACTGGCGGAGGCTACTTGGCAATCATGGTGAAACTGGCTTGGGAAACGGCCACCTTCCCCCTCCATCCAGGCTTCTCCAGCCCAGGGCAGACCCGAGTTGGTCTGTCCTGTCCGGAAGGGTCGGGATGCAGGGCGCGGCCCAGACTGGTGCTGGCCAACCCCCTTTGGCGTTAGTCCGGCCCTAGGGCCCTCCTGCCGCGGCTGCGCCCCTGAAGTCCAGGGTGCCCATCACGAAGAATTTTGGGGCCAGGAGGTGGCCTTGAAAGCTTTCGCCGTGGCTCCTCCGCACTGGTGACTTCTCCACCTGTAGGCCACCGGTGGAGCTAGGCAGCAGGGGACGCCAGTGGGAGGAGCGGGTTTCCAAACGTTGCTTTTTACGTCTCCGATCAGTGTAACCCTGCTGCCCGGGATGCGTCGCCCGCAGCCCAGGAGGGAGCCCCTTCCTAGGGAAAGGAAAGGCAAGCCTCCTCCTGGCTACCAGCGGAAGGGCCCTGCCTGAACCTGCGCGCAGTGGCCGCAGAAGCAGGAAGGGGCTGGGGGCGCACAGCGGCACCTTGGGGCTTCGGGAGAAGCACTGCTTCTGTGGTCCCCAGCCCCTGCTCACCAGGGCTTGCTGTCCACCGCCCCGTCCTCCCCACAGCAAAGCACCGAGAGGGGCTCATCTTGGAGAGCAGAAATCTGAGGTTTCCCTAGCTTAGGAGAGGGCAGGCACGGTCTCCCTCCCCACCCCCGCCCAAAGTGTCAAGTTTCCTTCCCGGGAGGGGGTGGGCCGCCAGGTCTGTCTCTCTCCGAGACCCGGATGGCTAAGTCGACTCTCCCAGAAGGTGGCCGCGCCGCCTGGACTGGCTGGCGCACCCTCGGACACACTCACGGGCACTCACACGAGTGCACACTTGCTCCACCGTGCTCAAGTCCCCCGGCTGGATCACGGCGGGCCGCGCGCACTTTCCCAGCTCTCCGACAGGCGGGCGTGCGTGCGGGGCGGGGTGCGGGTAGTGAAGAAATTGATAACAGATTCTGCGGATTACAGCAGATCTCTTTGTTAGAGGCGAGGCCACACTAACCGGACCTACTCCTGGCCTGACGCCCTCTGAGCAGAGCCAAGTGGGCGAATCGCCATCCGGTGTCTGTGACTTGGGTCACCCCTGCTCCAGACCAGGAAGCCACCAGGGTACGCCAAAGGAGATGGCGCAGGGGCAAGCATCATAAGTAAGCACCTACCCTGAATCCTGAGCGCTTGCCCGGAAGGCCCTTGGCCACCTTCCTGCTACAATCTCCCGCGCAATAACTCCCCCCTGCCCCCTCCCCTTCCAAAGGCACTGTAAATTCAAAAAACTCCATGAACCCAAGGCGGCAACCCAATAGGTAACAAATAACGACTCAGTCAGAGAAAACAATTCTGCGCATTTCCCAAAAGCTCTGATCCGATCTGAAAGCAGCTCCGGAGAGGTTTCATTTCATACAGTCCCACCCTGGAAAGCAAAAGCTCTGGGTGCAGGCTGAGTTTTCCCCGAGAAACAGCTACGTGGTTTCTAATGCTTTGGGGGCCAGGAAGAGGCACGTGTTTCTTCTACTTTAAGATGGGGAAGGTGGTATCAGGCTCAAACACCACAGTGGCTGGGTGGTTGGCAGTAGGGGCATTTACAAACCTTGTTTCTGGCCCAAGGCAATCCGCCACAGGGCTCCCTATTCTGTAACCCACTGAAGATATTCCTGGCAGTGGGGAAGGGAGGCAGAGAGAATGCACAGGAGCACAAACTGGGGGGCGGGGTGGGAGAACACCCTTGCATCCTTGGCTTTGGAGGCAGGCAATCTCTAAAGAGAAAGGGTGCAAAAGCCAGGCGAAGACTCTCCATCCCACAGCCACCCTTAGTCCAGGCAGTCCCGGCCAGCTGCCTCCCAAGTCTGGGGAAGTCCAGTGAGATGAGAGTAGCCAACTGGGTAGGAGACATGAAGTGAGCCAGGGCTCCAGGGCAAAAAGCAGGATGGGAACTTCCAGGAACAATCCCTGCTTTACGTGTAAAGGAAATTTTGTTCTATCGCTGAAGCAGGGGAGGTGTTGGAGCAACATGGCGCAAACCTCTGCCACAGTTACAATTTCGGGATGTCCGGAATGGGGGCCAAAGGAGAGATGCTGAGGGATGCTCCCAACTAGGGCTAGACCAGCAGGAAGTCAGCTCTGGTAGCCACGATAAAGGAGCCAGGGTTCCCAGGAACTTGTGCAGGGACCAGAGCCAGGGGCATCAGGACACAGTCTAAGAAACAGTGCAGTTGGGGGGGGGGGGAGTAAGAGAAAAAGCAGGAGAAGCTCAAATCAGTGCCAAGGCAAGTGGGCACTCTCCAGTGCCCTGGACACAGGTCCAGGCAGACTTAGCAACAAGAAGTCGCAGGGAAGAAAGGCCTAGTTGCCCTCCGTTTCTAGACCAGGCTCTTCAGGCCCCATAGCACAGCCCCCCTGCCCCTACCACTTCAACCTCCTCACACAGCCTCCCAGACTGTCCAGCAGGCTCCACTCTGCTCAGAGTTGCGGGCTGAGTACGAAAGACTACTGGAACTGCAACATTGTTTCAATAGTGGTAACTCTGGCAGAGAGGAGAGAGAGAGAGAGAGAGAGAAAGAAAGCAATGTTTGAAGGTGGGAGGGGGTGGAGAGAAGAAAGAAAAACTGGAGTCCTCCTGGAGAGATATTCCTAAACAAGGAGGAGCTACCAACCCTCCGTGTGGACACCGGCCACCCGAACACAATTTGTGGGGTCACACTCATGGCCCCTTCCCTATGGTGCAGCTGGTCCTCACAGGGCTGCCCAGGGCTCAGCAGGGTGAATGGGCCTGGTGGCTAGGAGTGAAGGAGGAAGCCAGAGGTGGGAGGGAGTAGCGGGCAGCTGCCTGCCTCCCCAAGGAAGAGCGACTCGGAGGTGTCCTACCTCCTGGCGTCCAACAGAGGGCGGCCGGCACCGCACCGCAGGGAAGAAAGGCATCCTGAGCTGGGCTAACCCCTTGTGCACCGGGGTGCACTGGTAGAAAAGGATGGGGAAAGGCAATGGATGTCCAGGGCCGATTTGGGGAGGATCTTCCTTTGGAGGGAAAAGGGGTGGGCCTAAAACGCTCCTTTGCCCAGAATCCCAGAAAAGCTGGTCCTATATACCCCTCCCCCTCATGGCAGGGGTCCACGTACAGGGGCACACTACACACCCAACTGCCCCTCTTCCTAGCTCCTTCTCAGCAAAGCTCCCTAGAAACTGGCCAAGGACGCCTGGCAGCCCAAAGCTCTGTTTCTGGCCAGCTCAGCAGTGAGTGTGAGTGTGGGCAGGGGGCAGGCAAGGCGCTGGCCCCAGAGGTGCGATCCCACGCAGCAGCAGCAGCAGCAAGTTCCAAAAGGCAAGATGTCCATTTAAAGACAGAGCAAAAAGGAGCCAAGAGGCCCTGGTCGGGGGGCTGGAAAACTGCACAGCGGGGTTTTCAGGTCTTTTTATTTTGTTGTTTTACCTTTATTTATTTTCCTTCCAGAGTTAAGGATGTTTGTTTGCTTTTAAGAAACATCCTGCCCAGCCCTAAGAATTCTCTAGAAAAGGAAAAGAAGGCCAGCGAAGAAAAAATGGAAATGGAAATCAAGGCGTGGAGGAAAGAGAGAGGAGAAGAGAAGAAGAAGAAAAAGAAGAAAATGTGTTTGGAAAACAGTAAGTTCCACTGCAGGAAGAAAGGTTAACTTTTCGGAAAAAGTGAACTCTCGGTGACCTTCGGAGTATGTGACTCGGCTTTAACACACAACTGACAATTAAAACAAACACGGGTTCACAAACTGCCCCCTACTCGCTCTCTCCACGCCGAGGCCCCAAAAGTCTCCAAGGAACAAGGCAGACGCCTCGCAGGGGGCCCGGGTGCGCTCGCCCGCCCGCTGGGCAGCCTAGATCAGAGCCGGTCCGCCGCCTGCAACCCCCGCCACTGCGGCCGAGGGCCGGACTCACCCGGTGGCGGCTAATAATGCTAATAACACGACCCAGCTCCCCGCGCCGGGTGCGCGCTGGCCCTTGGCCAGGCACTCTTAAAGGCGCAGGGTCCCGCGGCGCGCCTGCAGCCCGGGCCGCGACCAACCTTACGGAGCGGCCTGCGTTTGAATGGAGGTGGGTCCTGCTCCAGGGAGCTGGGCGCTAGTCTGGCTGCTAGGGTTCCCTTCCCCTTTCCAAGCCGGGGCCACACACCCTCTCTG